GTTTATTGTATTAAAAAGCGATGATTAGAATTGTAATAAAATCTAAACATATGATTAAAACGAATTTATACATTTTTTTGTTCATGAGAATTTACAACTTAATATTAAACACTATTAGATTGTTTATTTACAAGAATAATTTTATATTTACAACATTCTAAAAACCAATACACGTGTATTAAAACTAATATAAAGTAATATAAAGTGAAGTAATGGATTTAGAAAACGGAGTGCCGAGTTCAAATTCTAGTCGAGTTTATTACATTCACTTAGGTACTAATATCCTTGAGTAAGGTATGAATCCATCTTTTCTCCTCCAACAATGGGTAAATAGCAAGGCAGACTGGTTCCTATAGCCTTGGGTGGCAACCGGCCTGGAAGAAGGAAAAATTCTGAATTCAAATCCGGCCTGGAGAGGGTTGTACTATGTCAGGCTGTTTTGCCTGAGAAACACTACTACTGTGGTAACACATGTGATGCCCGTATGAACCTAGGGTTAAACAAAAATCGTTTTTGTCAATAATTGCGATTGAATTAGCACGTAGAAAATATGATTCGAACTCACATTTCTATGGGTCATAGCTACTGACTTAAGCCTGCTGTTTCCCGATTAACAATAACATCAATTCTCATTTGCATATTTCATTATTAATACTTCACGAAAAATTAATTAGAGAATTTGCTTATTTGGTATAAAAACGACGCAACAGACAATAAAGAAAATAAACAAAATTTATCAGATTTTTTTTTTTTTTTGCAATCAAAGGAAACGATAAATATTCGATCTTAAAACGCAAAATGGCTGTCTCAGAGAAAGAACCAAAATTGAAAGGAAATTAGATTTATCTTCCGGTGGAATGATTTGGAGAATGATCGATTGATTCGTTTTTACAGCTTATCAGCCCTTTACAGTTTATAGAAAATATTTTTAGATTCTAAGATATCTTTTGAAAAAAATAATGATTTAGTGATACAAGTCTTACTAATTAACCCATAGTTAGGGGGGGAGAAGAATTGTACTCTTTCCCAAGAGTATTCTGGCGTAAGTGAATATAATGAACCCAGCGGGAATTGGATCTCGGCTCTCCGATTAACAATTCCGAGCCATTACACCAGCAGCACATCCAAGCTTACAGCACCTGGTATTCCCATTTAGTCAGGCATCTAGATACTGAACAGGCTCGACGTTGCTTAACTTCGGTGATCGTACGGGAACCGGTGTGTCAACGTGATGTGTCCCTGGGCTGATTTGAAGAAATTTTGCGAAACGCCTGAAGAGACTCGGGAAACGCTGGTTAACTTGAGAGATGAAGTGATTGCGAAGCGTGTCCAAATTCTCAGAATTCTTCTGGCAATACTATCAACAAACTTATCACGCTGTCACTAGCACTGAGACGGCTTTCATATGGTTGACATCACTACTGATTTGTAAGTTTCATCTTAACTGGATGCATCATACGAAAGCCGACATTAAATGACCCAAAAGTGGCTGTCATGTTACAAGATCAACTGACCTTAGCAAATCATTAACAATGACTTTGTTAATTACTAGATAAACTGTGTCAGAGAAATGCGAAATATCTGATAGCGAAAGATGCCTTCCAAAAACTAAACAAATAACATATCAGTCTTCATATATGGCAGTAAATGCTAAACAACTTCCTCACAGGTGAAGAGGAATCTTGAGACAACAGAGATGAGAAGGTCACGGATAAAACACGTGAGCAACAGGGAAGTTTTAAGGAGATTAAGACGAAATGGTACATAGAATCAAAAAGAAACAGTTGAAATTTCTGGGACATAATGAGGACAGGGTGCTTGGAGAATTAGACACTCGCAGTATGTACATAGAATACAAGAGGGATAGAGAGAAATAACGAGTAACCTACCCAACGAGATTGCACAAATGGGAGGACATGGATTGAGAGATTCAATAGGGTAAAATATTGCTTAAAGCTACAAAATATAGGACGTTGTGGAGAGCCTTAAACAGCCTCGTCTTCAAGGGACACGGTACATAGAATAAGAATTGAGCTAGACTCAGTTTCGCATATCAAATATATACACGATATTTACCAAACTTCGTAAGAAGCAATCCAAACTGCTATAGAAGGATTGTGCTCCGCCAATATTCAATTTGAGTATTTTGTCTACAATCTAAGTTTTTATCTAGTCGTGAATACTGTTCCTTGGCATTTAGACATAACTATTTCAGCTACAAGGCATGCGTTATGACTATATAACATAGATACGTTTATAGTTATATACAGGAATGCTTCAGATCTAGTCTTGCATGCCCACCACGTTGTGGGGAGGTCTTGGTGACGGGGTCGATTTCATAATAATAATGTTGCCTTCTCCTTTCGCAGCCGCTGACCGGAGATAAAAAGAGAGCTACAACAAAGGAATTTTAACTTACTAATTTATTCAACACGTCAACGGGTATATTTCTAACTAGCCAGTGGGGTTGCTATCTCACCCCAATGGGGAACGTGTTCCTAGACAAAAAATAACACGTCTACATTCTTCGACGTGTAAAACTTAACTCCCTGAAATCCCTTTCTATCTCTAACATTCCCACGCTAGTTTTAACCAACCAAAAAGGACTTCCTTTGATTCCCTGTATCTGACCTCAAAGGTCAAAATGAGGAAGTCAGAGGAGAAATACAAATCTCTAAAAAATAATAACAGTCTGTTAAACTATTATTTAACACTAGTATAAAATTTGACATTTAACAATCGTAAAAGAAATATTATTTTCAAAATCAAATTTAAAATAAAACAACTGTTTTCTTTAAAAACCTGTTGCTATTTTTATCGCGACTTTCTGGAAATTCCTGTCTCTCCATTTTCAAAATACAAAATGCAAAGAGTAAATAGTATTCTAACATTCGAGTAAGGTTTTGTATCTTGCTGATTGTTCGTTGGAATTTCGGTTGCCAACTCTGACCTAGCGGGAAATGTCGCAATCAATGATTCACAGAGTTTACTATCGGTAAAAAAAAATGATTAAGCAAACGACAAGGCTTTTCTTTTCTTTCTATTTTTTCCTTCTCTATGTTACATTGATTAGAAAAGGCGAACGTCAAGAAAGTACAGTAGAAAAGATAAAATAAAAAATTAAAATAAAGAAAACAGGAGGAAAAGACTGAGAAGAATGATAATGACGATGGTGTATGGGGTTGTCATCGGAACGCATGCGCAAAGATACGAGAGTAAGGTAGGAGAAATGAGTCTTAAATTCAAGTGATTTTAGTCAAGAGAGGATATGGCTCAGTTAACAAGGGCGTCGATTTCTTCGAGCAACCATAATTATCTAACCTGACAAGGCTGCAGTTTTGAATTTTCCATCAAATCATATTGCAATTTCCGTTACTCCATTTGTCGCCTGTCACGAAAATGACTTGCGGGTAAATCACAGGGATGATAACATGGCTCATCCCAGTGTACGTGACTTGGCGGGTCTTAGCTGTAAAGGTTAGAACTGGTGAAAACTAAGGAATGTAACTCGTCAGAACATTTGCCATGGAAATAGCGAGCGGCTTACAATGTTTCGTCTGTGGGAAAGGGGTTGTAGGAAAACAATTCATCACTCACAAGATTTTAAACACTATCGCGACTGAAAAACAGCAACTGGGCTGATCTAGCTCAAATATGGCAGCAGTACTCGATCTTCGGTCTAATCTGGTTCTTTTAAAGATAGAGCAACGCAGGAGCGGGTCAGAGACTTTAATTTAACGGTACATGGAACCGATCATGGTACCACGTGTATTGCAGCCGTAGTAGTAGTGGTGTGTCTTGGATAAGATAGTCTGACGGAGCCCAACCTTCTCCAGATTGGTTTAAATTCAGAGTTTTTTTTCCTTCTCCTGGACTAGCTGTCACTCTAGGCTATAGGACCCAGTCTGTCCTGTTATTTACCCATAGCTCTGAGGGTGGAGAGGAACAAATGGATTCATACCTTTCCCCAGAGTATTAGCACGTAAGTCAATGTAATGAACTCGACTGGGATTTGAACTCGGCTCCCCGATTCCTCAATCCACGATCTGTTACTCCACTGTACTTCCATGTTCACATATATGAGTTCTATTTGAGGTCTGGAGTGAACTTGAGTCCCAATAAGTGTCCAAGGCAAGGGGCCTCATTGAGTTAACACTCGTTCATCGTGTTCAATTCAGGGTCTGCTAACTTGGTTTTTGAGATATTGAATGTTACAAGCCAGCTATTTCCCTGCTGAGCTATGTCAGAGGAGAGAGTAGTTGCCAGAATTTGGGAGTTGAACCCAGATACCGTTGTATCATCTGCATACTTATTATAAAACCCAGGTTGTGTGTGTGTGTGTGTGTGTGTGTGTGTGTGTGTGTGTGTGTGTGTGTGTGTGTGTGTTCGTTTATATATTGGATCGGATTTCCTACATTTTGCAACCTATTTCAACAAAACTTTACAGGACTACGTAAAATTACCTTGCGGTGGTTCTAACAGCGCCAAAAATTTGAAAAACACAATTGTTTTTGCACGAAATCAATTTGAAAACACGATTAAGAGGCATCGCTGTTGCGAGAATGAAATGGAGACAACTCATATCGAGTTATACTTATTATAAAACCCAGGTTGTGTGTGTGTGTGTTCGTGTGTGTGCGTGTGTGTGTCTGTGTTCGTTTATATATGGGATTGGATTTCCTACATTTTTCAACCGATTCCAACAAAACTTCACTTTTTTTTTGGCAGGTAGTGTTTCTTATTGTCTTGCACACTTTTTTCTTTATTTTTACATCCAGAATGCTTTAACAATTCACTTTACAAGACAATTATTTATAATAAAATTCTATTCAATCGGTAGATTCATAACGATTGAAAACAATGTTTTTGTTTGAGTTTGGGTTTGACCAATTCGTAAAAAAAACATAAAAAAACACAACTAATTAAGACATGCGTGTCCATCAACCTTAAACAATAATCTTTGTCAATTTTATTTTTCAGTCTTTATGATGGTCGATACTTGATCTATCTCTTACTGTTACATCCCCGGGCAACGCCGGGCTCTACTGCTAGTATTAACTAAATATCGGAGTATGCTCTTAGGCAGACCGTTAATATAAAGCAGAAAGGGTATGGGATCGAGAAGCTAGCCTTGGGAGGCACCTGCATTAATCCCATGGTCTTCGGAAGTAGACATTAACAATGACCTTCATGGACCTACCTATTAGGAAGGACTTGAGAATTGAAAAAACACTTCCAGCGATTCTATGTCTGGAGAGTTCTTGCAGCAAACCCCCTGCAGCACACATTTGTCAAAGGCTTTCGACATATCTAAGGCGATCATCCTCGGATGTATTTATTAGCGCCTCCCTGGTTCTATGAGTAATGAGAACTAAGGTATCAGCAATGGATATTGCAGAGTGAAACCAATACTGTTTGTCGATTAGGGAGTTGTCTCTGTTGGAGTGATCAATAACCACCTTGTTGAAGATAGCCTCAAAGTGTTTACTAAGGTGACTGATGAGCCGATATTACGACGAGCATTAGCGCTCATATACAGCAAACACTTTCTATACACATGGGAAGCATCTCCCCTTCAGGTATTGGCCAAGATTAGAGATAATTATGGACTAATGTAAAATCTTGGATTATATCCGGACCGGCAACCTTCTTAGAGTCAAGGCTTTTGATTGATAACTCCGGAAAATTCCTGGGTCGAGAGAGATATAATACAAAGTTTTTGCTCCGTGAGAGGTGGACAGTAAGACGGAAAGGACAGTTGTACATAAAATTAGAAAGAAACTGTTGAAATTTCAGGACATAATGAGAAGGAGAAGCTTGGAGAATTTGATACTCACAGTATGCATACAGAATGCAAGGGGGACAGATGGAAAAAGCGAGTAACCTATCCAACGGGTAAGGAATGTCACATGTCGTCTAACGTGAAATTCGAAGCAAAGTTCATTGCGAGGAAAATCGATATCTCAACTGACTTTTGCCATTTGAAGAGACTTGGGTTCAAGAAAAATGGCCGATTTTGGCAAATCGAAAATTTTATACCACAACAGCGCAAAGACCGCATGCTGCAAAACAGACCTTTGCAGAAGCTTAGATATATTATGATTCATGATGATATTTCATTGTAAAAAAAAAAAATTATAATAAAAATAAAAATCTGAAATTTCATCATTCTAAAAATATCTTTTCCACTCTCGCCAGTGACAATCTGAAACAAGTGACGCGGCCACT